TCGGTCGGTAGCCATTCGTAGCTAGCTTATACCTCATGCGTTATAGCGAATAAAATTGACCTGAAAATACTGGGCTGTAGGGCGTTCCTTTCTCTATGATTTGAGCCTATTTAGGCCCTCTGAAACCCCCTCTAGCCAAAGTTAGAGTCTCTGGCGTAACTTCACACAGGTATACTGGAACGGAGGAAGTACTACGTAGTACACTAAGCTTAACAGCAATTCCAAAAGAACCAGCCGCCATGGTCTAGCGGTTTGAACATGGGGACCGAAAGGTCACCAGTTCAACCCCAGCTTTTGGCCCACTTTTCCCCATTAACCAGGACTTCTACTTCTATAGCGTAGAGTAGATAGACTTATACGTAGCGTAGATAGAGTGTAGTGCGACTCGCACCAAAGCGAGCGCTGTGGCGCGACGCCATCGTGCCCCACGGGGACTTCCTATCTTTTCCTCTCGACGGGAAAAGCGGCAGGTACTGTAGGTCGTAGGCCGTGCCGCTCCCAGACGAGGCCTGTTCAACGACCAAGTACCTTAACTTGGAGTTTGTAGAGCTCTCAAAATCTGAGAAAAAATGAATTATAGTTAATGAAAAGAGCCTAAAATGGGTGCAAAGGGGTTAGGTCGTCGTAGGAGCGGTCAATTAATGGGCTCTGACTTTTGTAGTGGAGTGCTTCAAACATTTGACATTTTAGTGCACAAAAAGCGTTCGCGATATTGATGGATTACCTCATATTAGTTCTGACGGGAGTGAAAAACAGCCAATCAGAGTAGACTATAATTGGCCACGACAACTGTGCTGTTTCGTGACGAATGTCTGCGCTGCCACTAGAAACCTCCTACACAAGTAGCAGAATGCTGCTGCTGACTGACAGGGCAGTAGGGGTGTTCTGACTCCTCGTACGGACCTAATAATTTTTACTAGTACAGGGTTTAGGTGACGCACGTAGTAAAGACCTGAGTCTTTGAAGGTGGTAAGCATGAGATGTGGGTATATTAACCAGTGTTGGCAGGGGCGTAGTATCGCCTCGATTGCCCGGTGGCTGTGCCGACTGAGACTTCGGCAACAGCCTCCACCTCGCCTTGGTGCTTTGATTTGCGCATAGATGACGCCATGGCGGCGGCGGAACTACGCTGGCGCATTCGCCACACGCAGGTCAACACAATCAACGCCACCATTGCGCTTGCGATGATGGCGGGATACAAGATCGTCGGGCCAAAGTACGTGCCGTCGGACAAGTCAAGTGACTTGCTGCCGAGAAACTTGGTGCATCGAGGGCCTAGGTCAATTCGAAGCATCAGGCATCTTGCTTGATAACATCACACATATGACGTTATCGCATACCGCCATAGCCCTTGACGCAGTTGCAGCGACGTTTCACGCAGCGACCACTGGGCATGGACGCCGACATGGACTGGCAGTCGTCGTCCTTGTTGCATGTCGCGCCACCGTCCACTCGGATCATGGTGTTATTGACATTCGTGTACCATTCGAGGTGGCCATCGATCCATTCCTTGGTGGGATGAGTGGGGGGATCGCATCCAATGTACATCGAGCTCTTCTCTTGATACACTCTAATATACTCAATCTCCATGTACATGGGGAACGAGTCGCAAATGTTGTTGGACTTGTTGAACTCAGGAGTGCCTGGCTTGGGTGTGTTGGCATCGCCACGACACGGCCCAATGTTTGCGTTGGGCGGGGTAGCGCCTACGAAACAGGGCAATGTGCCACGTCATACATGGCATTCCAATATAGGATATAAATAGTAGTACCCCAAGCCCTCGCCACGGCAATGTTGATGATGATGTACAGAGGCTCTTCAATGGGCGACTTAATCGGGTTGCGCGGTTTGCCAGGCCCGGCTTGGGGGGGCTTGGTAAACGTCACCGACGGAATTTCAAACAAAGGCGCGCCATCGAGCATCCAGCGTACATACCCTGACTCACCCAGCACCCTAGTCCTTTCATCAGTACCATTCATTCGTTCGTCTTCCCACAAAAGATAAGTCTTTCGTGGCCATTTAGAACCATTTCGTGGCCATTTAGAAGAGCTTACCACTCGATTTGGTATATGTAAAACGTCGTGTACGCATCGTGGCCAATGTCCCAATTAGCTGAAATTGCGTCCATCTGGTACTCGAACGGGGGCATCTGGTTGGTGTTGGGGACGCCGTCCATGCGGGTCGCTGCACATTTGGTGTTCTTTGTGTCGGGGTCGCATAAAAACGCGCCAATGTACCCATTCGCAATGGGAAAGCACGTGCCGTTGTAGTTGATGCCCCAGTGGTCCGGCCCTTTGCCGTCGATGAGCCCCAAGTCGGCGTTGGCGTCCCGTCCGGCACTCACTTGCATCTTGTCGTAGATGTTCGTCGTGAGCAAAGCCGGGTTCATTTGCACTGCTTTCACCTACAAGTATCGATGAGTACACCACGTTTCCACCAGCTTTGGACACAGGTAGACGAGCTTACCGGTTCGTATTGCTGCACTTCGTTGGGATCGGTGGGGCACCGGTTGTTGGCAGCGTACTTGAGCCCTTGATACCAGCTGCGATGGCCTCGGTCGGCGTACGCGCTCGTGGGGATATCTGGAAAGTTGGCGCCAGGGGTGGCACACGCCTTGCCGTAAAAACAGAACACGCCGTCAGGCGCTTCAACCGGCTTGCGGCGGTAGTTGTCTGGCATCCCCGGAGCGACTTGAATGGACGACGAGATGGCAGCTCCTCCGCCTTCAAGGATGTCGATCTCGGGGGCGCCTCGGCCTTGGTTTGGGTTCAAGCCAAAGCCAGGATTGGGGTCGCACGCAGAGATGGCTTGATGGGGGTGGTAATCGGGGTCACACTCATTGTACGACCACGGCCACATTCGCGTGGTGGACGCCGAGAAGAGCGCGCGGCCGAGGTTCCCGAGCAGCCAGATGCCGGGCCATGTGGGGTAGTAAGCTCCGTCTTGGACGCGGTCGCTAGGGGTGAGTACAGTCTTGACGCCATCCCTCCAGATCTCGCCAAGCGCGTTCGGATTCATGGTCGTGCTCTTGTGGACGTTGTCCGGCAGGACGTTGACGGCGCCGGGTAGCTTGGCCGCCACTTCGATGAGCCCGCCCTGCAAGCAAAACTTGTTCCACGACTGCATCATGCCAGCGGAGTAGTGCTAGAATTGTACTGTGGATTAGAGGAGATGAGATCGTCGCTTGTGTACCAATGTGCTGGACTCGAAGTCGGGCACTTCAAGCCATTGGTTAAAGTACGTGACGTTTGTTTGCATTTCGTCCACGCGGTTGATCAGTTTGCCGTTCAAAGTGTACACGTTAGACGAGTTGTACAGACCAATGGCGGCGTTCACCCCGTCGGGGATGTCCAAGGCGGTCCACATGTGATCTTGCCCTGGTACGAACGATCGGCCGTCGATCTCAAACTCGTCGCTCATCACGAGATCCCACGTCTCGCCGCGGGATGACTTCTTGGAGCGAGCATCCAACGGCGTGTCCACGTCAACCCAGGCAGTGACGCCACTCCTGGAACGATACCCTTCGTAGTCGTAGTCAAGTGCTACCGTCACAGCTTGGAGCAAGGTCAGCGCGCCCAAAGCCCGACCTCTCATTCGCTCATGATTCATCCGTGAAGATGATGTGCTTTGGACTTGTGACCGCCTCTGGCAAGCTCTGCAGCCGTGATCGGTGCTAGCATGTGTAGAACGTGGTCGCTACAGAGACATGTGCCAATATTTGAACAAGCTCACTTATCAACCAATCGATCATCGCCCCAGTCGAACAAGCGTCGCTGATTCGTTGCTTTCAACCAATCCAATCACAACCAAGCGACACGTTTGCGACACCATAAAGTCAAAGTTTGGAGTCCGTTCATGATACCAAGATGGAATAATTCCCTAAGAACAACCGTTCCACTGTTGCTTACGTAATCATTTCCCTTCAAAAGAACCAGTAGCGTTGTAACCTCGGAACCCCTAGACCCTTGTGTCGGTATTCCCGTGGTTAATTGAGTTTTATTACCTTATTAGTTGAGCAAAGGCCCTAATGAACTAACTAATTTTCCTCGTACTCCCGTGGGGTTAAGTTGCATGACCAGTGGTTAGCTATCGCGAATCACTGACATACACTTGAGTCCTACGTGGAATGTGCTGTTTGGTTTACACTGCATTTGATTATCGCATAATAAGAACAAGTGACACGATGTCGTAAGCAACACTGGAACTGTTGCTCTTAGGGAATTATACTGTTGTCCCAAAACATGAACCTTGGTACCAAGATACACTGATCTCCGTACAATTCCCTCATTAAATCCGTTCCACTGTTGTTTTGACACGAAATACTGTACTGTTTCAATGAGGTTTATATGGAACTTTGTATGCTGAGACCACCTCACCTCTTACTAGGGGTTAAGTGCATCTCAGTGGTCAGCGATATCTAACCACTAGCGATGCAGTTAACCCCGGAGATATAGTATCGTCGTATGTACTCACCGGGGGTAGAACGGAGTCCCAGGTTACAGGGCTACTGGCGAAAAGGTGTAAGTTACTTATCCGAATGTAATAGTTCCCTCATTGAAACAGTATTTCGGGTCAAAACAACAGTGGAACTGTTTTAATGAGGGAATTATTCCTGATCTCCGGAGTACTTGAAGTAGTACTCCATATGAACCTTGATTTCTATTACGACTACGTAGGACATATGAATTTTGGTATCGTCGCAGCATTTTCGCAGCTCACATTCTCACCACTCACGACATTTTCGCATACACTGGTACGCCGCTGCACGTTAGAAGTACCTTTGCTTCATTACACCTTCCACCGTGTTTGGTAGCTCACTGCATGTCGAGCTCGCGGTGGCATCAAACTCGCCCTCGATATATTGCAGCAGTGGTACGTACTTCAATTTCATCGTCATATGCGCTGTGATTGTAAACCCCAACCTGAACGCTCAAACCGTCCCCATTCCCGATCAACATGGTTTATGTTCCGCTCGCTCTTTTTCTCCACTCGGTGCGACATCGTTCGTCCAATTACGCAGCTTTCAATACGCACATATCCACCAGTATTTAGTATTATCCCTAACGACTAGTAGGACAGAAGCGACAAGTTGCTGGCCGGGCCATAGAAGCGCCGTTGTTGTTGTTGCTGGGGCGTACTACACTCTTCATTCACGTTGTACGCACCCACCTGCTTGAACGTATTGCGGCTTTGGTTGGTTGTAGCGGCGAGGGTGGCGGCGGTGGCATGGCGCCTCTTCCTTACCACGGCCGTGAGCACGAGCACGGCCACCACGACGCTGATCAGCGATAGGGGGTACATATACCGTGGGCCAAAGTAGTCGGGGGACTTGGTATCGATGGCTTTCGCACCGAGAAACTTGGAGCATCTGGGGCCGCCGTAGCCCTTGACACATTCACACCGATGTAGGTTGCATCGCCCGCTGGGCACGGTGGCCGACATGGACTGGCAGTCGTCGTCCTTGTTGCATGTCGCGCCACCGTCCACTCGGATCATGGGGTTGTTGGCATCCGTGTACCATTTGATATGGCCATCGATCCATTCCTTGGTGGGATGAGTGGGGGGATCGCATCCAATGTACATGGAGCTCTTGTCCTGGTACACTCTAATATACTCGATCTCCATGTACATAGGGAATGAGTCGCAAATGTTTTGCGTCTTGTTGAACTCGGGAGTGCCGGGGGCGGGCTGCGTGGCGTTGCCGCGGCACGGCCCGATGTCGGCGTTGGGCGGGGTCGTCCCTGGTGATGCCACGTCATCCTATGAAGACTTGTACGGACGACGTACGTACCCCACGCTTTGGCCAGTGCCACGTTGAAGATGATGTACATGGGCTCTTCGATCATGAGTTTCTTGGGGTTGCGGACGTTGCCAGTAGGGTCTTGGGGGGGTTCGGTGATGGCCGCGGCGGGGATTTCAAACAGCGGCGCGTCTCGCAAGCTCCACCGAATGTACCCCGTGGGCCCCATGACCCTACGAAACCAACTCATGTATATGTACGTTCGTGTCGAACGACGCGAGCAACGACATACCATTCCACTTGATACACGTAAAACGTTGTGTACGCATCGTGGTTGATGTCCCAATTTGCCGAAATCGCGTCCATCTGGTACTCAAATTTGGCCATTTGGTTGGTATCGGCCACGCCCTCTCTGCGAGGAGCTTCGCATTTCGGATTCTTCGAGTCTGGGTCACATAGGAACGTGCCAATGTACCCGTTCGCAATGGGGAAACACCGGCCTTCGTAGTTGATACCCCAGTGCAGCGGCCCCTTGCCGTCGATCAGCCCCAAGTCGGCATGCACGTCCTTCGCAGCACTCATTTCCTCCCAGTACCATGTATTCAAACCGATAAACCCCTTGTCTTGAGCTGCTTTCACCTACGTCGTACAGTGTTAGTATGATCCCATCTGCAGTAAAAGATCAAATGCCAATAAGATACTGGTCGAGCTAGACTAGAACTCGCCAGAAGGCGGAACGTTGTTCACCTCGCTTTAGTATGAGTATGACTCTGCTGGCTACCCAACCAGCCGGCTAGCTCATCGTTGAGTCGGCTACACACAAGTTTAAGCTAGCTGCTACAGTATTCAGCCGGCTAGCCCAATTATACAGTTGGCTAGCTCATCGTTCAGCCGGCTAGCCCAAGTATACAGTTGGCTAGCTCATCGTTGAGTCGGCTACACACTAGTTTAAAGCTAGCTTCTACCTATTCAGCCGGCTAGACCAACATTAAAGTTCGCTAGCTCTTCGTTGAGTCGGCTACACTGTAGTTTAAAGCTAGCTGCAAGCTATTCAGCCGGCTAGCCCAATTATGCAGTTGGCTAGCTCATCGTTGAGTCAAAGCTAGCCGTTCGGTGCTAGCTCACTTTGAGCTACGTTGTTCATTCTAGCTCTACTAATACTCTGCGAGCTACCGTAATCCGCAGGCTAGCTCAACTTTGAAGTTGGTTAGCTCATCGTTGAGTTGGCTACAAAAACTCTAAAACTACCTGGTCTGGGCTAGCTATTGAGGCTACCCCAGCATCCCAATGGTCATAATATATACATGCCACGCAAACATAAACCGTACGTACCGATAGGTATCCTTGGGGGCCTTGCACTTGCTGAACTTTGGGCGGGCATTCGTTGTTGACAGCATACCGCAGCCCTTGGTACCAGCTCTTGTACCCGCGCTCCTTAAAGGCGGACGTGGGGGCGTCGGGGATGTTGGCACCAGGTGTCAAGCACATCTTGCCGTAGACGCAGTAGATGTTGGTCACCATTGTGGAGTTATTGGTGTCCAAGCCGCCTTTGACCACCGGTTTGCGTCTGTACTGGTCGGGCATGCCTGGAGCGATCTGAATGGACGAAGAGATGGCCGCGCCGCCGCCTTCGAGGATGTCGATCTCGGGGGCGCCGCGGCCTTGGTTTGGGTTCAAGCCAAAGCCAGGATTCGGGTTGCATGCAGAGATGGCTTGATGGGGCGCTAAGTCGGCGTCGCACTCGTTGTACGTCCACGGCCACATGCGCGTGGTGGAGCCGGCGAAGAGCGCGCGCCCCAAGTTCCCCATGAGCCAAATACCCGGCCAGGTCGGGTAGTACCCGCCGTCGAGGACGGGCGTGAGTGGCGCCAGCGGCACCTTTTGTCCAGCTTCCCATTTGTAGCCGAGGGCGTTCGGGTTGGTGGTCACGCTCTTGTGTTCGGCGTCTGGGATGTTATTGACGGCCCCAGGCAACTTGGCCGAGACTTCGATGAGCCCGCCTTGCATGCAGAACTTGTTCCATGACTGCATCATCCCTGCCTTGTAGTGCTACGAGCATGCGTGGATGGTGAATGAAAGGATCATCGAAGGCATACATGCATACCAATGTGCGCGTTTCAATGCCAGGCACTTCGAGCCACTGGTTGAAGTATGTTGCGTTCGTCGGTCCTTCCTCGATCTTGTTGACGAGTTTTCCGTTTTTGGTGTACACGTTGGACGAATTGTACATTTCCAACGCGGCATTCACGCCATCGGGGATGTCCACGGCTGTCCACAGATGATCCTTGCCCGCGACAAATGAACGCCCTTCGATCTCAAATTCGTCACTCATCACGAGGTCCCAAGACTCGCCGCGCGACGACACCTTGGTTCGCGCGTCCATCGGGGTGTCCACGTCGACCCAGATGCCGACACCAGATCGAGCCGGGTATCCGCCGTAGTCGGTGTCCACTGCATGTACCATCACTGCTGGAGGGAGTACCAGTGCAAGCATGAAGAGGGGGCGCGGCGGTATCATCATGATGGTCCTGGTCAGATTTCAACTGGTCCCTTATCGCCAGCATTACCATCGTATGTCGAAGTTACAAATGTTACTTCGATTAGAAATTGAAATTCGACCCATAGATTATTGATTTTTGTATTTCAATTAATAGTACTTCGAAGTATACCGCAATTCAAACGAAGTAGGTACGACTACGACCATCCCTTGGTTTAACGACCTATGTCAACATTGCATTCAAATAACAATACGTGCGAGCGCAATATCAAAATGTTAGTCGTTAAAACGAGGGACAGCTGTTCGCCTCGCCCATGGAATCAGATCGCCATTTGACACTTGTGCAATATAGTTGATATCCTACGGCTTTCGTTACAAGGGTCATGGCTGGATGCGATGGCTACTTGGAGGTAGGTCGCGTGGTGCCGCCGCTGTTCCGACCTTCAAAGTACCTCAGCAAATCGTTCCACATGTGGAGCGGCAGGCGCGCGGCGAGGCCGCGCCACGAGTCATTATGGCCAAGCGATGTCGTGGACGCACGAAGGTGCTCAACGTGTTTTCGAAGGTACACCACCAGCATGACCGTGTTCACGTTCATTTCAAGCACGGTCGCGTTGTCTTCGTCGTCCCAGCAACATGCAAGCAAGGTCGGGAACAGCAAATCCTTTCCACTACGGCCACAACGTCATGTGAATAACGCGATCAAACCACAGACTTCAGTACCGAGGATCGCTAAAGTATGAAAATGGCAGCATAGCCAAAAGCTGCAACAGCGACGGTTGTCCGTCGCCGATGCACCGCAACGACGCCTGGTGCGGTGGACTTCGCAACACGTAGTATCCTAGCAACGGCAGCAACTCAACTAGCAACTCGTGGCGTGCCGAGAGCAACACGGTTCGCACGAGGTGGACGAATCGGGGCTGGTTGGCCCGTGTCCCCACGACCGATTGAAACCACATGACGTCCAGCCGCGCCATGTTGGTCAATGCTCTCAAGATGAGCCCACTCAAGGATGACGACGACGACAATACTGGCGTGGGCTGTGACGTGTGCGTGTCATCGCTGTGCAAAGTGACGTTGTCGTGCTTGTTGGTGGTGACGTGATCGAATTCGTGGATTGGCACACTTGCCAGCAGCAGCGTCACCATTCCTACCGTCCATTAAACCGTTCAATCCTATCTCGTTGTTATGTCGATGCTACTAAGTCCTCAATTTGGCAACCAACGTTGGACAGGTTGAAACAGTGACGTGATCAAGCATCATCCGAGACATATGCCATGTCATCGTGACATACCAAACAACCCGGTGGTTTTGAAGATCTTGGCCACGGGCACGCGCAGGTCTTGCATCGAGCGCACGACGACGCGCTTGGGTCTGTGCTGCGTCGTCAACGCACAGAGAAAATGACAAGTGAGGCGGAACAAGTCGTCTTGCTGGGTCACGGCCACCAACGCAAACCGATCGGCCACACGAAACAAAATGCCCACGTTTGCAATGTACCTACATCCGACCATATATACATACGTAACGTCATATCCCCACTCCCCCTGCGATATAACGTCATCGTCCCTCCACCACCCTAAACTAAAAGAGCACAAAACATATACTACGTAGTACTACTTACTGTAAGCGGAATAAAGGGAATGCAAATCGAATTGACATGTAAATAACGGAATAATATAACAAAATACTATCAGCTATTAATCACATAACAGAACCCGCTATCCACATAATACTGTATGGTATTGTGTACTATTAATAGTTTGTGTGTATATTTAAAAAAAATGGTGTGACATGCCGAATATATATATCGACTCAACAAAAATGTATTGAAGGATTGGCAGAAGAAATTAGCCAATCATCACTTCAACAAATAATTAGTGTGTGACTTAAAATAGTGTGATCGGCATTTCCACTGGCCTTTTTTCGATACAAATTTCAGTACAAAAAATCGATCGATGGATTTGGTACAATCAGCACAAAGTCCAAATATTTTGGCTGAAAGGACAATACCGGCCAATGTCTTCGCGGATCGCGTCGAATTTCGAAGTCGATGCTGGACCGAGGCACAGCGCGAGCACGGGCATGGCCCATCGCAAGACGTCGTTGCGGTCCCAGTGCTGCAGCGCCCACACCAGCACGTCCACGAGCGGCAGCACGAGATTGGACCCGACCAGCGTGTCAATGTGCTGTCGGTGGGCCGCGCACTGCACGAAGACCACCCGGAGCGCGAGGGCGATCGTTGGCTTGGACACCCAGCGCAACGTCGGCACGGTGGCCAGTCTGGCCAAGTCGTGCGGTGACGTTATCGTGTTGGACGTATGGGACGTCGCGTTCGAGATGGAAGGGGGGGTCAAGAACGAGGCGAGCGTGTCGTGCAGCGCCACGTCGTCCTACCGCAATGGACACGTCAGACGTGTGAGGTTTGTTGGTTGGTAGGCAAGGTTGGTGGTGTTGCAATGTGATACAGTGGGTCGGCTGTCTGTACGAACCATTTGTTGTACAGCCGTGGCGATCACGTCATGAATATGAGGAGGCGGGCAACGAGGGGATGCAGGGGGCGATGGGTTTTTGGGGGAGACGGCGACGATATTGGTGGCCTTTGTGAGGAATCGCATGCGATCTCGAAGCCGCTGGGCGTTCTTCTTCATGCTCAGCTCGACGGACGCTTCCAACGACGGCATGACGGCGTCCCGTCCATCTTGATGATGGCTGGTGCTGGCGGCAGAGTGCCGAGATGGCTGCTTGGACGACTTGCGTTTGTTACTGCCGGCGGGGCCGATGGGGGGGCTACTATTAGTTGGAGGGGACGTCTTGCTAGTAGTACTAGCGCCACCCCCCTTCTTCTCCTGCTGGTACTTGAGCCGCCGTGCTTGCACCCCTTCGTGCCGCTTCTGAATTTGCGACACGCGAAGTTCCAACTGCACTTCTTTCGCCTTGGCCGCTGCCCGAATGCTTTCAGCCTACGTCATACTGTCATAAGTATTCTCAGTAGTATATATATATACGCACAGAAGTAACAGCGATAACGTCATAGCCTTACTACCTATAATATCGAGTAAAAAATAAACTGAGATTCGTATATTTATTCACCTGTGATAAATAACTAACTGGAGAACCATAATGTCAAATCGATTCGAAGCTGGAGCCCGTCAGCAGAATCGAATGTCTCAAGAGAATGGACCGCCTAAGCCAATCAAATCACGTTCTGTCGAATTTCTGCCAATCCAAACTACGGATTTAGCTGTCCAGCAAAATAGGTACTAAGTGTTGTGCTAGTACTAGTATAATATAGTTTGTATAAGATTAAATTTGATGACACGCTACATATTTGGTGAAATGACTCGAAATTTGGGTGAAATGCACAATAACGTTAACTATATGGTCGATTTGATACAAATTCGGGAGGGGGTGCAATCGAATAATCGCGCCGACCAAACCGATCCACAATCGATCTGATTGGTTGAATTTCCTTGAGAAGGTTTTGATTGGCTAATAATTTAGAGCCCATATCTGAAGTAGCCAATCAAATCGATATGAAACCACGAACTTACCTTGAGACTGGCTTTGGTCTGAATTTGACGCAGGAGGTTGGCTCGTCGTACGGCCACGTGGTCTAGCCGTTGTTGCAACTAGACACTTGTACATGAGTACGGAGAAAGAGTTGCTGCCGTCGTAATTGCTTGCACCTCCATCTTCCGATCTTGGTGCATAAGCGTTTGGATAAAGTTGATCTCGTCCACTTTGGTGTTCTCGGACCCGGCTTTGCTCACGATCCACCGCAAGTGCGCTTGTTTGAGTCTGTCGGCGCGCGCTAGCTTGGCCCACATCATGTCCTAACACAAGATGAGACCGTTCGAAACCTCTGAAACTTGATACTTCTTGCTTTTGCCGGGATGACGCATTTCGGGACGTGACGTGTTGCATGCGCTCGGCGGCCATGCGGATGCGGGTCAACTACGACGACCCCTGTGACGTTAGAGGATGCGACGATGTATATACACATGAACGGGGTTGAGGAGAAAGACTAATGCGTCGTGGCTTAGGAAGTTGCTCCACAACTGCAGCAACTTGTATACTACATATGCAGACACCAACCCTGGCCGACTCGATCGCGTGCTTGTTGGCCGTGACCGTGTCCAAGCGTTGTTCCGACAGGAGCTTTGTTTCCGACGGCGATCGTTTGGGTTTCCGCGGCAAGCTGAGCTTTTGATGGCGCATTGGAACGACGTGTGGAGATGATGCTCCGCGATCGTCCGTGGGACTAGCCGGGCTTGGCGAGGACGCTGGCCTACATGCCACTCGCGTGAGTGAGCTGGTGGCATGTGTAGATATATAGGCAGATACACAACCGAGCAGAATTGGGCTTGATCATGACCAACGAAGATGAAACGAATGGTGGAGACGGCACGGAGGCTGGAGGAGGTGATGTGGTTTTGGCGATGCGCTCCAGGGCCTGGACCACGACGCCGGTCGTGGGTTTCCCCAATTGCGACCACTGGCTGCCTTTCTTCACTTCCCACGCCACCGACGATTTGGACGACATGGACGACTGCATTCGAATGCATTCCATGAGCTATATACATGATCATATATGGACACATAACCACGTTATCGATCGTCACTTGATCGAGGTACATACAGTATGTCTTGGCAACGTTAGTTTTACCTTGATAAAGTCGTCGTGGCACGATTGCAGGACGCGCGCCGCGTCTTCGCAGTGCGACGTGCTGCTCTCGAGCTCGCACATGCAGTAGAGTTCGTCCACCGCACTGGGAAACACGCACTCACATTCGAATCATAGTTGGGGCGGTAGAAAGGACTACCTGTGGACGTTCCGCAGCAAGTAATCCCACAAACGCATCTTGAACGACACTTGCTCGTCGTCGACATGATGGCGGTGGCCCTGCGAATCACTGCCACGCATCATCGTGGTATCGTCGTCGCGGGTTTCTACACCGCAGACACGTGAAACCATAACGATAACATAACGTTACTGCGTCGATCGAGAAGTTACCATGACGACAATCTGCATATGCATGTCGGTTGTCCTGGTCATTACTGCCGGTCCTGGCCTCCACCGACAGAGTCGACGTGGCCGCATGCTGATGCTTCGTCCTGCTTTCATGAGAATGATAACTTATTGTTGGGTCATACATTATGTGTCATGACGCGTAACGTACGGGCGCATGGACAAAGCTTCGTGTGCACACGCAGCGGCAGCAAGTATGTTGAACGTCTACATAAACATCTAGGTTGAGCGCATGCAGGAAGCATGTCGCGTGCAAGTAACTCGCCTTCCCCAATGATGCCGCGATTCCGGGCTTTGCGGAATGAACGTGACGGTTCAAAAAATTCCGACGATCCTTATGGCATTTGATACTTTCCCAAACCTGTCAAATATAATACTCGCATTGTATCTTTGATCATGTCGACGTTGGACATCAAGCTCAACCGCGTCGATCGCGTCTTCCGCCCGCATGTACGTCCATGGGTCCATCTATCCTCCATGCTGATGCGTAGACCTAGGATCTCATCCAAGGACATGTCATCTTGCATGCCACGAACGCATTCAGCCATTCGGGGATCAGCATGCGCGTGGAAGGCAGCGCCAAACTCCAATTGAGCGCGAAAAGTGTGGGACTCTTTGACGCGTTCTACAACACCGTGTCGCCTCTTGAGCTCGTGTACTTTCATATCCCGGTGGTCGGTCCAGGAAAGGTGCCTGTGGGCATCTCCAAGTTCCCGTTTGAATTCGAACTCCATGCCGTGAACGCGCAGCAAGGCCTTGTGGAAACCTACCACGGCGTGTATGTGAGCGTCAAGTACGAGATCATTTGCGACTGCGCGCGCGGCATGATGAAGAAGACGTTGCATCGAACGCTCGAGTTCATCGTGGAAGTCCCGCTCCAGAACGCACTCCCTGACTCCCCAGAGGAATTCATTGTCACGCCCGACAAACTGGAAAACGTCCGCTTGGTACTTGACTGCCGTTGATGAGCTCTCATCTGTTTTGAACAATAGAGCACGCCACGGAACATCCCCACGTTCCACATCAAGGGCAACATCCACCGAACCAACTGCCCCGTGAACCTACCCTTCACGGGCGAGGTCTGTTCCTTCACCATCGATTACACATATGACTGATGATCTTCGGTGAACATGCGTATTAGATCGTCGTGGAAGCCGCGTCCGCGCCGCTGAAGAGCATTGAGCTGCAACTCATTCGCGTCGAAAGCGTCAGTACGTTGTGAGGCGCTCCCTTCGTGACCTTCTTCACGTGTCTTCCCTAGCTCACGCGGAAGGCATTGCCCGAGACGGTAAGACGGTACTTCGCATTGTCTTGCTTAAGAGCTAGCTAATCCATCATCGTGATGCTCGTCTGTGCTCCATTATTAGCCACGGAGATCCAAAACGTGCAAATCGGATGGGGTGATGTGGCCCGACAAGTCTCGATCCCCCTCTACATGATCTTCCCGCGACTATTCACGTGTCCTTCCATGCTCACTCCAGGTACAGGTCTCCTACAAATCGTGACGAAAGAGCGCGTGACCATTTTATGTTGCATGCGGGCAGCCTTCAAGGTCCAATTCGAAGTGAACGTTGTCGTGCTGTTTGAAGACGGATACATGCTCACGGAGAACTTCCCCATTCACTTGTACCGATGAAGGCGCGATTCATAGACGCTGGCTGCCACAGCGCTGATGCCGGCATATCCGACGGCGCGTGTTATCTGCAGTGAGAAATGCAAAAGATCTCAACATGAAGAAAATATCCAACCTAGTTATTTTTCCTTAAAATAAGAAATAAATTTCCCACCATTTGAATTATCACGAAAATATACCTTGACCTAGTCAAACGTTTGAATTATATCGATACATACAACGTGGTGTGTTATTTAGTTCGTGTTGAATCGGTTCTTGTATCAAGCAAGTGCTTCAATCGAGGGGATGGCAGCAAACGTCGCACGTTGATTGGATGAAATGATTCTGGGGAATTGCGCCAGTCAAGTTGGTAAAGTTACTTCACTTTTTGAATCAAGGTAAAGCAGCAACAAGCATGGCGAACGGCACGACCAAGGAACGCGAAATCCAAGGTACTACCTTCTCATGGCGGTCGGAACTGACGGGACATGGATGTAGAATTCGTGGACATCTGCCACGAACTCAAGAACGAAGTCTTGGACGTGATGACGAAGAAGTACACGATGCCGACGGAAGCCGTGGAGTGGGTCAAGGAGGTACGCACGATGCGCACATACTCACACGTTGTTTTCATGCAAAGCTGACGAATCCATGTTGTATAGATGATCGATTACAACTGTCTTGGCGGCAAGATGAACCGCGGCATCAGTGTCATCCACTGGTACACCAACGTGATCCAATGCAACTCCATTTTACCTCTGACGAACATGTCCGTGTAGTGCGGAAGCGTTGACCCAAGGCAAGGGCTTGACCCCTGAAGCGCGCAAGAAGGCTGCCATCTTGGGATGGTGCATTGAATGGGTACACACATCCCATTCCAGGGTGATCATGCCTAACTCCAGCGACTTTGTAGCTCCAAGCGTTCTTCCTCGTTGCCGACGACGTCATGGACGACTCGATCACCCGTCGTGGGCAACCTTGCTGGTACCGCCTGCCCAAGGTATATCTCCCTATCAACATCAAGCATCCATCGTCTCACACATGGTCCATGTAGGTCAAGCAAATCGCCATCAACGACGCGTTCTTGCTGGAATCGTTCGTGTATTCCATCTTGAAGACGTACTTCCGCAGCGAACCGTACTACATCGACTTGGTCGAGTTGTTCCACGAAGTGATTTTGCAAACCGAGTTTGGCCAGCTGCTCGACTTGACGTCGCAGCCGCTGGATGGTCCCACCGACTTGGACCGGTTCACCATCGAACGGTCGGTCTCCATCGTGTCCTACTTCGTCGTGCTCATGCGAAGTGTGCTGTAGCCATCAAAAGATTGTCGTGTTCAAGACGGCGTACTACACGTTCTACCTCTCTGCCGCCTGTGCCATGCACATCAGGTACCTACCTACCTACCTCCCATGAATGATTGCATATTGTTCGTGGTTGTTCGTTGGGAAAAAGAGTTATACTCTCAAGTATTCTTTTATGTTCTTTAAATGCGCCATTGGACCAACATTCTCCACAAACGTTTGTTTTATCTAACCGAATGTAGCGGCGTGACCGACGCGGCGTGCTTTGCTCAATGCCAAGACATTTGCGTCAAGATTGGAGAGTACTTTCAAGTGCAAGACGACTACTTGGACTGCTACGCCGACCCTGAAGTGCTCGGCAAGGTACAACAATATATATATATATATATATGATCACTCGTTTCATGATATATATATTTGTTGTTCTAGATTGGCACGGATATCCAAGATAACAAGTGCAGCTGGCTGGTGGTTCAAGCGCTCGC